TAGACCCACGGGAGTAGAACCACCCTCCGATACCATTGACCACAGCCAAGAAGATATAAGATGCCGTCAGTCGAGAGATGCTCGAGAAAACAGCGTTGTAGAGTGAAACGCTGCATAGGGCCAATGCTCCAAACATTCGTTCTTTCTTCTCTCTTGGCCAGGTTATCAAATAGGTGGCACAGACCATCCCGGCCAGTGTGATTCCCAGAATTACTGAAGTGATTTTCCCACTACCAGAATTTTCTAATAGCAAGACCGATACGGACGTCCCCCATATGTGTAGAATAATTCCGATGTGGTCCAACAGGAAGAAGGAAGAAGAGAGCTGCTTCCCCGAGTCAAGTAAGTAATGGGAAAAAGCAGAAGTACCAAAACAAAAGAGGTTGGATGACAGAGAAACCAATGCTGTGATCGTATTGCTTGTTGACGAAGAGCACCGAATTATATGGAAAATAAAGCACAGCAGAATTCCGCTGCCGCAGAAATGGATTTTTGGGTCGACAGAGCCATTGTTGTGAGCGGGCTTATGTTGTAGTGCGCGTCGGGGCTTTGAATCGCAACGGCTGGCTTCCATATCAACAAATTGAATTTTCATTGAGGATTTTGTGGCACTCTGGACAGGCGATGTTCTGAGATTGACGGGACAGGATCACTTTAAACAGTCGTAGCGCTTGTGCCAAAAACGTCTTCCTTGGGTGACAGGTCTTCATTACTTGATCATCCAAAAATTTTGAGGACCTCAACTTTGACGCTCATTCAGAAAAGAAGATACTGTTTACCCAAAACCTGAGGTGAACAGATACGAAACCGTGAACATATTTATGCTCGGTGCGGTGTGTTGAATTATCAGACCCATAATATTTCATGACAGGAAACATACATTATAGGGATGTGGTTAATGACGGTGGCGTTGGCGGGCAATGAAATTGAAGTTGATGGTGTGTTGATGGTGAGGGGAGTGTTCAACTTTCGCGGACGAAGGGCAAAGGTTTCCTCGCCATCTTGCCCATATGATAGATGTATTAGTTAATGTACATTATTCATACAGTAGTCCGTGAGCGATTTCTTTTTCCTAATCTGGTAACTTGGTGGAATTGGCATACAGTCTCCGGTTCGATAGAACTAGTCAGATTAATAAGAAATCCTTCTGAAATTGGCAGGTGTATCACTCGGAATTTTGAGAACACCGTCTCTTTTCCTACTAAGAATCTGAGTAGTGGTTTGAGGCTTTGAGTTGATGCCTCACAGATAGTGAGGCTTGTGCAAACTGAAATCAGACATCATGCTGTGAAGAGTGAACCCACTCTTGCATCACGATCACATGGGCATTCAACGGCCGTTGATCGCTGGCCAAATAGGCCTGAACACTCACCAGGATGCTTAATCAAAAGTCCCCCCGACCAACGTGTTGACCAATGTCAGAATAATTAAGAGGAGAAAGAGAAAAACTTCCAACAGGTGAGAAACAAAAATATTACAGTCAATTCGATGGTTGTACCATCTGGAGAGTGTTGCGGAAGATTGATCGAGTTCCACCACGTGATCTCATTATCGTATCTTATCACCACATGCCTACAGGACTCGTCTGGATTTCCTGGGACAACCTCAAAACAAAACGAATCCCTCTCAGTACAATAATGTCGCTGGGAGAGAAAGAGCACAGGAACCCCGACTCCTCCTCCGCCGAGACTCCTCCGCCGATTCAACAACCATGGGCGCGGCTGACCGAATCCGTCGAACCTAAATTTACGCAGTCACAGCCCACGGATGAACTCGACACGGAAATTAGAGAGGCCCAGGCGCAGCTTGCAAACCTCATACGGCAGCGACGGCTCATTGAGCTCCAGCAGAAGATTTTTGATGAGCAAGTAGCGCTTGAGGTGGCCCGGAACCGGCTTGCGGCCACCAGCAAAGATCGCTCGCCCATTGTCAGTCCTATTGTGAACGACTCGGGCAATACACAACACAGGGTACTTGCTACGCCGATTCAAAACGGGTATAGCAAAGCT